TCCTGGATGTCTCGGCTGGCATCCGGGACACGAATAGACAAGGCAACACAAGGCCGGGAAAGTAAGGTGAACAAGAGAAACGAGAAGAGAGGCGTGAAAATACTCGACATTTTCCCCTCGGGGAAGTCTCTGTGTGAATCCAAATAGAATTCAAATGACTTTGCATCAATTTTTCCACAGTACACTATCTCCCTAGCTTCTAGGAATTTCTCCATAACACACCAGTGAAGGAGAATGCAAAACATTATTAAAGGGAATTATCTAATTTAAGGACAAGTCAATTAGCAACTCTAGGACTTAAGACACATTAACAATGCAGCCAGCTAAAAATTTTATGTGATTCATAATTAAACTACCTTGCACCTAAACATATTTGATTAATGAATTAAACCAGATTATGCTGATCACAACGATTAAATTAATATTTAATTAAATATCACATTTTTATGCCAAATCAGCCCACGAGGGGTAGAATTGATTTGTGAATAAAGATTAGCAAAACCTAAAAAGTTTCCCAAAAGAGAAAAAAAATTTTTTTGGCTGATTTCTTACTCACAAAGTTTTTCAATTTTTTAGATGATAGTTTACTATTTAAAATGTTGAATTGGATAAAAGACCATGTCTAAAATCCTGGACATCTCAAAAGTAAATTCTAATTCAGAAAAATTATAATTATTATTTTCACTTTATAAGAATATTTCTCATACTTATAATAGAATTTGCCCTGTGGAATTTATCATATAATTAAGAAAACCCCAAAAAGGTACCATTTCCTCAGAGAAATGTCTTCTTTGTTCCCTTTCTTCTCCATTGTCACAAACACAGTGGTGCTTGGAAGGCTGCCTTTGTATGCTATGTGACCTTATTCTTTGTCCTTGAGGGAAATACTCATATTTCTTTGGAGGGTCAGGGGGAAATACAAGGAGTCAAATTCATATACAATTTATGTATACGACTTCATGATATCAAGGCAAATCTCTTTAGTCCTGTAATGATTCAAAACTAAGGTCACAACCACAGTCATGACTGTGTTTTCAGGTTCATTTTAGAAATTCCACCAATGACATAAAATATATAAGCAAAAACTTACATGGGTGAGATATATATGATTGCCATTTTCTTCTTTATTCATTTTAATATTATTTAAATGTCCTACAATGAACATATATTACTCTTAAAAGACAAAAATGCATTTTTATTTTTTAAATTTATTTTTAATGTTTATTTATTTTTGGGAGAGAGAGAGAGAGAGAGAGAGAGAGAGAGAGAGAGAGAGAGAGAGA